TTTTTTTGGGGGGGGGGGTGCCTGGGTGGCTCGGTTGAGCATCTGACTCTGGCTCAGGTCATGACCTCATGGTTCATGGACTCAAGCCCCACATTGGGCTCTCCACTGTCAGCATGGAGCCCACTTTGGATCCTCTGACCCCCTCTCTGTGCCTCCCTTGCTTACATTCTCTCTCACAAATAAATACTTAAATAAATTTAAAAAAATTTTTTTAAGTTTTTTTATTTTGAGGGAGAGAGTGTGGAGGAGGGGCAGAGAGAGAGAGAGAGGGAGTGAGAAAGAGAATCCCAAGCAGGTTCTGCACTATCAACCTAGAGCCCAATGTGGGGCTCGAACCCACAAACTCTGAGATCACGACCTTAGCCTAAATCAACGTTCGGATGCTTAACTGACAGCACCCAGGTGCTCCTAAAAATTCTTTTATTGAGATAACTTACATAGTATCATATAAATTCACCCAGTTACAGTGTCAACTTAAGTGGCTTTTTGTATGTTCACATTTGTGAAGCCATCACCATAATCCAATTTTAGAACATTTCCATCATGCCAAATAGGAGAGAGTGAAAAAACAACCCATAGGAGAAAATATTTGTAAATCATCAAAATCCCATTCTAAAAATTGGGCAGAGGACTTGAATAGACATTTCTTCTAAGAAGACCTACAACATGGCCAATAAACACAGGAAAAGATGCTCCACATCATTAGACATCAGGGAAATGCAAGTGAAAACCACAGTGAACTACTACTTCCCACCTACTTCCATCAAAAAGACAGACAAAAGGGGCACCTGGATGACTCAGTTGGTTAAGCTTCCAACTCTTGATTCGGCTCAGGTGATGATCCCACAGTTCTTGGGTTTGAACCCTGAGCTGGGCTCCGTGCTGACAGTGTGGAGCCTGCTTGGGATTCATCCTCTCTCTCTCCCTCCCTCCCTCTCTCTCTCTCTCTCTGCCCCTCCACCCCCTCAAAATAAATAAATAAATAAACTTTAAAAAATAAAATAAATTTAAAAAGACAATGACAAGTGTTGATGAGGATGTGGAGAGATTGGAATCTCTAGTGTGTGGCTGGTGGGAATGTAAAAGGGTGTAGCCACCATGGAAAAAGGGTATGGTGGTTCCTCAAAACACTAAACAGAATTACCATATGACCCAGTAATTCCACTTGTAGGTATATGCCTGAAAGAATTGCAGTGGAGACTCAAACAGATACTTGTATATGAGTGTTCATAGCTCCAGTATTGACAGTGGCTAAAAGGAGAAAATAAGCCAGGTGTACCCAAGATGAACAAAATGTGATCTATCCATATAATAGAATGTTGAAATAAGTGAGATAAGCCAGAACAAAAGGACAGGTTATTGTCTGGTTCCCATTACATGAAGTATCTAGAGTAGGCAGAATTCTAAAGACAAAGTAGGTGAGAAGTTACCAGGGCCTGGGAGAAGGAGATGAGTTGTTGCTTAATTGGTACAGTTTCTGTTTGGGATGATGAAAAAGTCCTGGAGATAGATAATGATGATGGTCACCACAACACTGTGAATGTGTATAATGCCACTGAATGGTACACATAGAAATGGTTAAAATGGTAAATTTTGTGCATATTTTACTACAATAAAAAAAAAGGAAAAACTCTAGCACCACTAAGCTGTCACCCCCAGTTCTTCTCTCCCCCATCCCGAGGCAACCACTAACATTTCACTGTGGATTTGCCTATTCTGGACATTTCATATAAATGAAACCATACAATAACATGGTCTCTGGTGACTGGCTGCTTTCACTTAGGATAACGTTTACAAGGTTCATCCATGTTCTAGCATGTGTCAGTTCTGAATTTCCTGCTTTTTAAATTTCTTTTTTAAGACTTAATTTTTTTAGAGCAGTTTTAGGTTTACAACAAAATTGAGAGGAAGGTACAGAAGTTTCCTCCATGTCCCCTGCCCCCACACATGAATACCCTCCCTTATTGTCAATATCCCCCACCAGAGTGGTGCGTTTATTAACAACTGATGAACCTATATTGACACTTCAGCGTCACCCAAAAGTCCATAGTTTATACTGGGGTTCCTTTTTGGTGGTGTACATTCTATGGGTTGACTTTTTTTTATGGTTGAACAATATTCTTCCACTGTGTAGATACGCCACATTTTATCTGTCAGTTCATCAGTTGATGGGCATTTGGGTTGTTTCCATTTTTGGCTCTTATGAATAATACTGTTATGAACATTTCTGTGCAAGTTTCTGTGAGGACATAGTTTTCAGTTTTCTTGGGCACACTCTTTATAAATATTTTTTTTATTTTTGAGAAAGATAAGAGTGTGAGCAGTGGAGGCACAGAGAGAGAGGGAGAGTCTCACGCAGGCTCCATGTAGAGTCCAAAGTGGGGCTTGAACTCACAAAACTGTGAGGTCATGACCTGAGCCGAAATCAAGAGTTAGACGTTTAACTGGCTGAGCCACCCAGGCACCCCTTCTTTGGTATAGTCTTAAAAGTGGAATTGCTGGGTCATATGGTAAATATATTTTGAAGGACTGCCAAAGACACAAGTCTGTTATCAGACGTAGGATCTGCAAAATATTTCCTCATATTATGTGGGTTATCTTCTCTCTTTCTCTGGTCTTTTTGGATCACCAAAGTTTAAGGTTAGTCTTTTGAGAGGCAGTTTATCAAAATATCAGGAGCCATAGACGTTCTCATATTCTTTGCTCTGGTATTTTCAATTCTGGGAGAGTTTCAATTCAAGGAGATGATTAAGGGAAAGAAAAAAGCGACTGTGTACAAAAGTGTTTATGGCAGTGTAAAAAGAGAAAAAATGGAAACAGCTTAAATGTGCATTCACAGAATTATGGAATGTTATGCAGACATAAAATTATGAACATGGTTAAACCTGATTATGTAGATTCATGAATTATGTGTAAGTGGAAACAATAAGCTATCCAATCAGATCATCCTACCTCCTGGTAGGATGGAAGAGTAGGAAGGTGACTGACTGCCGAGTGATGGAGAAGGGGTTGCCGGCAATCACTTGTGCAGTGTTGTTATGATGCAAAATGTAGAAGCAAGGCATTGTTGGCATCATCAGATCCTCACAGAATTGTGGGGCCATGCACCAGGGCTGGGCCATCATCAGAACTTAAACAGCTGCAGAATGGTCTGCTGCATGGTGTCCATGGTTCCTTTAGCCATTCTTTGATGGAT